AACGTTATTGAGTTTTCAGGATTTTCATATGTATGAAAAGTAATGTAGGATGTATACTGCGCAATACGTAACACCCCCAGCAGAGTCTGGGGCAGCAGCCTTTAACCAGATACATGAACATTTTTCTTCAGCAAAACTCAGCAAGAGTCATACTGAGTGGGTATATAAAGGCTATAAAAAGTCTCACATCAATTTTGTTCAGCTTTGGCTATCAAAAAAGTTATGAAAACATTTTCAGCGTTCCGATCTTTTTTGGATTTCCACATTCTTTTATCTGTGGGCTCATCTAGAGTCCAGAGTCCAACTTGGACCTAGGATTAAAACCTAGGTTTTTTACCTTTCTAGGTGATACCTTTTCAGGTATCACCAGATTTTTCCATATGCTTTAATGTAGCATTACTGTACTAACTGTGGTAAACATTAATTTTTACTTGTTAAATCTGAAATGAATTCTTTACCGAAAGGCTATTCATATAGAATTTAGTTCCTCCCAACTTAGAATTCTAACACACTAACTTAATTTCTCATTATAGACTGGCACTTACTTTTCTCTGGGCTAGTTCACTGAGTATTCATTACACTTATCAACTCAATATAATTCAGTCATTATCAGGCCAATATTACTTATAATGGTAAGACTCCAGTGCTTTTAAATATGTCCCTCCATACATTATCATTTTTAAATTTCCCACTGTTACAGGTGAAATGTTTAGTCTTAGAATTTACTTGATAAACTAGTGAAAATTTGTGGAAGTTCAGCAGATATGCAGATATTATTGATAATTCATATGGTATTAGTGGGATTCTGCAACTTTAAGATTTTCCAAAAAATCATTTGTTTAGACTCTTTTTTTTTAAGCATACGAGTTTAGAAAATAGTAGTCAAATTTTGGAAACAACTGACCCACAACAGATGGTTTAGGTGCAGCAGAGTGAATGTGCAGTCTTACCACCAAAGAAGAGAGGCCATGACTTACCAGACTTCAATTTAATGTAATTCATAAAGGTTGGTCAAATCCATTGTGATTCATGTGTGAGATGAGCCTAAATGTATTATGTTGTATTATTTAAAACTGTAAGTTCAAAAAGTTACTAATTGTAACAGTGTGAACACTGACAATTTATTTTTACCACCAAAACCCACAACACTACCGATAATCTACCAATTCTGAATGTTTAACTTCTTAGATGGACATGAAGCAACCTTACTGGAATGGGGTAGTTTTTGTTGTTCGTTTCAAGAAATGGTCCTATTCAGAGTCCACTGGTCTTAACTATGTTCTGAAACTCTCTCATTTCCACTAAGAATTCTGACAATAAAAAAAACCCAGATATCACGAATATTTTTAGTGAGTGTTCAGAAGTTATTTTAGTCAATTATGTCAATTTCCCCAGTCAATATTTTTCATCTAAGTTCCTAACCAGGATTTAAACCGATTAGTTTGAATTTGACCTTCCTGTACCTTTTGGTATGTACATAAAGATCTGATAGGGATGAAGCAAAGTGGATAAAAAGATCAAACTTAAGATAAATCACAAATGGATAATCATGACTGCATTTTAATAGTTTCTTAACATACTTATCTCCTGATTTTTTTAACCTTAAAAAAAAAAAAAGAGGTAGAAAGTGCCATTTATTTACTCCATTATTCACTGATTTATTAGGGGGCCCTATTTTAGAGGCTACTCCTATGAAAGTGGCCCCAGTCCTGAAGAACCTGTGCACAGTCTAATGAGGAGAATGAGATGTAAATTAGTAACTTTTAACACAATGTGGAAAATGCTATTAACTGAGGCATGAGAAAAATACTTCAAGAGTAATTAATAATTAAGGTCAACTAGGGCTCAAAGAGGGCTTTTTGGGGGAGGTGACACAATAAGTTGGGTCAGTGGCCCAGTAGAAGTTTTCCATGTGGGGGAACATTTTGACAAAAAATACCACAAGAAAAGGCCCAGAGTCCAGAACACCACACTGAAACCAGGGATAGGCTCACAACTATACCTGGGACCTCCCACCTGACAAATCAATTTTTTGGGATATCCTATCTTATCCTTACGTTATTTCAAATCCCTCTAAATTTGAGGGACTATTAAAGAAATGGAAGATATCTAAAAATTACTTATTTCACTTATAAAGCTGTGTTCCTAAGGAAATGTTGACCACTTGAAGGCTGCTATATAAATCGCTGAAGCTAAATCTTATGTGATCCTCCAGAGAGAGGCAGACTGCAGAGCAAAAGGGAACGGTGGCTAGAAAGAAGCAAGGTCAGGAGTTCACTAATGATAAGAAATTATTTATAATTACTAATTTGTTGTCACAAATTTTTTGTTCTCTTTTTTTCCATGTATTTGAAAACCATCTGTCAAACCACCTCAATGGGACTAGAGGTAGTCTCCCCAACTGGTCTTGCAGCACATCTCACCTATTTGAGTAGAAAATTGTAGCACTCTGCCACTATAAGGAACCAGAGATTTTAGTAATATAAATAGTGGGAAAAAGCAAGTCACAGAGAACTTACAGACATAGGGAGTATAACTTGTATAAGATAGTAAAGGCTGCCTGGTAGGAAACAGAATTTAAGGTTTCAAGTGTTTTGAGTCAGTCAAAGAGAACCAGGTCAAAGACTGGGTGTCTGTCCTTCTGTCTCTTTTTTCTGGAGCCTTCCACCACAGCCCTGAATCTTCTCTGTGGGGTCTGTGTTGGACATTTCAATCCCACAAACCTTATTTCTCTAACTCTCCAGTCATTGGAGGTTTGCTAATGTAAGACATGCAAAGAATATTCTCATAATATATGACTGCCGGGGCGGGGGGGGACAGCAAATGAATTATGTACCATTCTCAGGAGGGAGTACTCCTTTCAAAAATCAATACATATGCAAACCATATTACAAAAGTTGAGAGTATTCACCTGTGTGGAGTTCCCACAAAGGAGCTTTTACTAATGGAGACAGAGTCCAGCAGTCAGGACCTTCACAAAGACCTGCAGTCTTGCTTTCCAAAGACAAGTTAGAAGTTCAAGAAAAACAATAAAAAGCTGAACAAAACTGGAGCAGGACCTCTAAATAGCAATGTTTACAATATAAGCAAAACTATTTAGTTGTCGTTTAAAAAACTGTATCCATAAAAGCTTGGCAGGAGATCAGTCACTGTTAGAAAATCAAGGAAGGATTTAAAAAAGAGGGTTTTTTTAAAAGGATAAACTGATGACTGAAAGCAGAGCTAGACTTTTTTTACCCTTTGGAAAGATATTACTCATTTTTTTTTTTTTTAAGATTTATTTATTTATTTATTTGACAGAGAGAGAGAGAGACAGCGAGAGAGGGAACACAAGCAGGAGGAGTGGGAGAGGGAGAAGCAGGCTTCCCGCCGAACAGGGAGCCCGATGCGGGGCTCGATCCCAGGACCCTGGGATCATGACCTGAGCCGAAGGCAGATGCTTAACGACTGAGCCACTGAGGCGCCCCTGGAAAGATATTATTTATTTTAAAGCTGACTCTAAAGAAGTCCTTTTATAAATTATGAGGTATGTTCACTTTCAATAGAAAATAAATATACAGTTAAGACAGAGCACCTATACTTATAAATATCTAAACAGATGAGATTATAAAAATATAAGATATGTATGTGTATGGGCAAGGACTAGAAAAGATCATGAATAATGGAAAGAGTTATTTATTAGGGTGGTAGGCTGTGTATAACTTAGCTCATTTATTTCTTTGCTGTTGCTTTAATACATATGAAAAATAAAAAGAGGAAAAGAATCCATAAAAATGCCTATCATTAAAGGTTGTTTGTAGCGGGCGCCTGGGTGGCTCAGTCGCTAAGCATCTGCCTTCGGCTCAGGTCACGATCCCAGGGTCCTGGGATCGAGTCCCACCATCGGGCTCCCTGCTCGGCAGGAAGCCTGCCTCTCCCTCTCCCACTCCCCCTGCTTGTGTTCCTGCTCTCGCTATCTCTCTCTCTGTCAAATAAATAAATAAAATCTTTAAAAAAATAAATAAAGGTTGTTTGTAGCAGTCACATAAATATTGTCACAGATAAAAATAAGTGAGCACTTCCAAAACTATTAAATCATACACAACACTTTCATTTTGGAAAATAGGGCCAGGTAAAACCTGGATTCCAATCTTCACCACTGGATTCCATCTTCACCACTCCGTCCTCCCCCAACCTCTCAAAAGGGAATCAGGACATTTCTTCTGTTTCTGCTCTTTCTCTAATTCCTGACATTACCAAACCTGCTACTCCTAAGGGAAGAAGAAGGGAATATAGAAAACCAAGTTTCCTGAACACCTTTATAGGATTCTGGCCACATCAGAGTCTTGCTGATTATATGGAACTCTGGTCAATTCCAAATTGTTTAGATTAGCCAACCAGCTCACTAGAAAGACACAGAAACATACAAACCGTTTCCATTCCCAAGGACCAGTGGTCAATTAAAATGCCTCTAACATTCTAAGAGCACTAGAATTCCAAAGAAAATTATATAATTTTTGGAGGAAAAAATATCTCTGAATCATAGTTTCTCTAAGCCTCAGAATCATAACTTTTTTGGTAAGGAGTAGTTAGAAGCTCAAACCATGTATGGATTGCATGAATTCTGAATGCTCTGTTCTAAAAACATGGTCGTTCATGAATAATAGAGAGGCAGAAGGAGAGAGAACAATCCAAGTAAAACAGCATTTTTCTAGATTCTGAGGAAATTCCAGATATACAACAAACCCTGCCCTGGGTGTTCCACCTAAAAAACAAACAACAAAACTATGTATGGCTTTTCTCCTCATTCTCCATAAATCTATCCAACAACAAAATATTCCCAATTAATTCAGGACATATCTTGGTATTCTAATTCTTTTTTTTTTTTTCCAGAGTTCAGCATGAGTACTTTTATATAATTGAAGGAAATTAAGCCACATATGTTGAAGATGAACTGTTGAGAAAATAGTACATTTTAAAAAGGAGATTCCTATAATCAACTGACCATTCCATTCACATTGAACACTCATAATTGAAGTATTTTTATTTCATGTACAATGAGTTGGCATTAAAGTAGGTATCTTGGATATCTGCAGTTAAGGTAAGTTATCCTGGACGACCAATTCAAGGAAGTTCACTTAATCCAACTTAATGAAGCCTATATCCTTCGCGTACTGACGTAAACATTGGCAGCACACATTGAGGCCGTATTTCCGGATGAGACCGTGCCGGCTTGAGCAGACGTGGCAAGAACGAGAACCCTGGCCAAATTTCCTCGGATGGCTCCAGTACAGCTGCTGGTGACCCATCTTGCTCTCTTGGATGCAACGAGGCAAAAGGTTGGTATTCTAATTCTTAAATAAAGTTAGAAATATACATGGGGCGCCTGGGTGGCTCAGTCGTTAAGCGTCTGCCTTCAGCTCAGGTCATGATCCCAGGGTCCTGGGATCGAGCCCCACATCGGGCTCCCTGCTTAGCGGGGAGCCTGCTTCTCCCTCTCCCACTCCCCCTGCTTGTGTTCCCTCTCTAGCTATCTCTCTCTCTGTCAAATAAATAAAAATTTAAAAATCTTAAAAAAAAAAAAAGAAAGAAACACTTAATTTTATGTTAGTAAAAGCTAGTTGCAAATCCGAGGCACAAAAACGTGATTATCAATATTGGGCACTTACTAGGGTATAACCCTAGGAGTCAACACTGTGTATTCATTGTGAATAATTTTCTTTAGTCTGTCTGAAGTACCAGTAATAAATAGCATCTATTTAGGAAAGAAGTATGGTTCACGTAAGCCGATGTTATGGGAGGTAATGCTATTTCCAGAGTGAGGAGTCACCAATTTATTCAACAGTGATCCCATTTTCCATTTCTTTCTTCCATAACATCATCAGTCCCAATGCTCATTTACAGAAAAACAGTACTTCGCACACTTCCCTTTGAGTTTAAGGATGAATTGAAATAGTCCTTCAAATCTTTCCCTTCACACAAGGATTTTTAGAGCACAGCTGGAATTCCGGTTAAGAAAAGAGGAAGGACAGCCTGAAACACAGGTGACCAGAACCAATTATGAAGACTGCTTATATGATGCTCTTTAAATGAAGCCATTAAGAGCTTGACAGATAACTATCTATCTGGATAATGTTGATGAGATCCTTAAAGGCAAAGAATACTCTTTTATGTTACTCGACAGTCCTATAATGCTGTGCTGTCAGCCTAGGATTATAGTAACTCTTTACAGTTCATCAAAAGGCTTTCCAGTTAATTTTCTATAAAGTAAAAATAACATGTTCCCTTCCTCACCATTCCCAAGTTACTTCCTGGAACTTAGCCTTGTCCCCAATGAAGAAAAGAAAATAAAGTATTCATTTTTTTAATCTTAAATAATATTAAAGTATTACATGGTGGTAGGTGCTATAGAGGGATCATCTTCCCTAATTTAAACCATTCAAAAGTCCCTAGGCAATGCCTACACAATTATGCATGAGGCTATCATAAAAATAGACTTCCATATATCATTAGACATAATTTTGGTCGAAAGACATTTGGAAACACTGATTTCTCAAGCAACAGCATCAAAGTCCATCTCCACAAATTGCCTAAGTGGTCTAAAAAGGAGATTGTTGAAGACTGACCCTTTGATTTGGGTGGTATTCTGGCAAAAGCCAATATATGCTACTAGTCAAAATTATGGATGGGTTCTTTGGGAACATAAATACAATTTTAAAATTTCTGACAGGCTAAAGATCAGACAAATCCTGCCCTGTGCAGTTTATCATATAAAGGCATACTTATAAAAAGCTTAAAATGTAAAAAGTTCCCAGTAAAAAATAAAGGGGTGTGTTGTATATGGTATGATGACAGAGTGAGACTTTTTTTTTTACAAACCACACAAGAAATCAGGATTCTTTCTTTCTAGTTCAGAAAGTGCACTGAAATGGTTGTTGGATTTACATCAAACAGGAGGGAAATTTCAAATGCAAGTTTAAAGTTTTTATTGATGACTTGGATGATTTAATTAGGTAATGGGGTTGACAGATTCAGGAATCCAAAACATTATAGGACTAGACTGATGTGCCTATTCAAGCAAGATGAAATTTAACAAGGATAAGATAAGGCACTTGGGTCCAAAGAGAATTTATTTGATATCCAAAGTATGTGAAAAATGTAATCCAGTAGTCTGGCTTATAGTATTGTCGTAATCCTTCTTTGTTGGTGCTGTATCTCCAATGACATTCTAGAGACAAACGAGTTACTCAATGGGGAGGTTAACAGTTCTTTCCCCTGAGCCAGGAATGCTATCCCATTCTGTAGCCCCAAAAGTCTTATACATGTCTTAAAGCACACTCTTCCCAATGAGATTTTCTCATTGTCCCAGTTAGAATCCTTTTCCTCCTCCCCTATTCTCCTTCTGCATTTTGAGTTTCATTTACAGCCCTTCTAAAATAGCACCTTGGCATAGAGTAACCTGGATCTGTCTATCAACCACACTTTGAGGCCTAGAGTGCAAGCACCATGGGCTCCTCCAGGTGCTTTCTTCATGAAAAGTACTCAATAATGTTTACTGATTAGCATGCATCTGAATCACCTGGAGCGCTTAACAAAAACAGGTTTCTGGACCTCATGTACAGAGTTCTCAGTAGATCTGGGATGGGAGTAGAAATTTAACATTTCTAAAAAGTTCTCAAGTGATGCTGATGCTGCTGTTCCAGGGATCACACTCTGAAAACCTCTGGGTTAGCTCAACCTCATGAAAAAGAAGTTTATCATACAACTTTTATTTAGAATTTAAACCTTACAATGACTATAGCACTCTATGTAATCATGAAACGTAAGTAATAAATGTAAAGCAATTACAGTCTCCTCTGTCATCAGTGCCGGCACTCTTGGCATGGCACCCCATTAGTTGACATCCTAATTCGCAGAATGAGCTGGGGCTGTGGGCTCATTCTCCCAGAGAAACCTCTGTTGGAACTCATCCTCCTAAGGCTAAATCAACTGTGCCTTCTTTTTAAAGTTTATCTTCTTTAGTAATCTCTACACCCAGCAGGGAGCTCAAACTCACAACCCCGAGATCAAGAGTCGCACGCTCTTCTGACTAAGCCAGCCAGGCGCCCCTCAACTGTGTCTTTTAAGTTAACAAAGGTAGAGTTGATGTAGAATTCAAAGAGGCTTTAGAGATCCAGTCTTCTATTCAATAAACTCCTTTGACAACACCCTTAAGAGATGGTAGCATAGCACCTCCCCATCCCCACCATAAGTCATCTGTGTTTGAGATGTCATCATGGTGAAAAATAATTTCACTTTATCATCCATATGTGAGAAAGTCTTCCTTAAACTAGGCTGGTATTTGTCTTTCCAAGACTTCTATCTACCCACTGGTAGAGGCCCACAATCTCTTGGGGCCATATATTTTATAAGTTAATTTTTCAGAAGTAGAAAAGTAATATAGGACACACATTGTATATTACATATTTCCTTCAGTGGGTCCAGGGCAATACTCCGTAATCAAACACATTTTCATTTTTTTTAGTGAGGCACAAGAATATGCATGGTTAGTGGATTAAAGACTATAAATAACTTCACATTAGCGTCAGATTTTGCCACCAAATTTATCAAAAGGCTCAATTTTCAGATATTTTTCCATTCCAACTTTATGAATAAAGGGTTGTGGACCTGTATAATTTTGTTCTCTGTGATTACACAAAGTACGTCTACTTCTTCTTCCACACTAGTAGTCCTTCAGTGATCTGAAGACCACTATCCCATTCCCCTCACCCACCTCCTCCTCCTCCATGTCACCATCTTCTAAATTATCAACTGATAAAATAATTCAGTGTAATGAAAGAGGACTAGGGGAGAAATCAACCCAAAGCAGTCTTCTTTCTTTAAAGTTCAAATGCGCAGTCATGGAGACCACAGGAGGGGCAGTCAAAAGAAGTGGCACTCAATCTTAGAAGACTGTGAAGCTGATGGGCGAGAGGATTCAATTAATTCAAGACATAGGGATGAAGAATTAAATTTTACCTCTGTGATTCCAAAGCAAAGAGGAGAACTTATATTTGTTGATCACAACTTATGTGTTGGGCACTATTTTTGAGGATTTACATACCTGATCTCCAATCCTTACAATGCTCTAGGAAGTAGGAGGTATCATCATTCTATATATGAAGGAATTAACACCTTGAGAAGTTGAATCACTCAAGGTCATACAGCAAGCCAACAGAGAAACCAAGATTCCAAGTCTAAACAAGATACTTCCAGAATACCCAAAGGGTACTGATGATGAACCCTCAGTAAGTCTGTTCTTAGCCCTGCCTCTACATACATTTTAATCGGTGACTTTAGAGAGGATGAAGATGCCTGCCTTGCATATTCCAATAGGACAAGAAAATGGGAAGAATAAAAAAGATGGAATCTGGGGTGCCTGGGTGGCTCAGTTGGTTAAGCATCTGCCTTTGGCTCAGGTCATGATCTTGGGGTCCTGGGCTGGAGCCCCACATCAGGCTCCTTGCTCAGCAGGGAGTCTGCCTCTTCCTCTGCCTGCTGCTCCCTGTTTGTGCTCTCTCTCTCTGACAAATAAATAAAATCTTAAAAAAAAAAAAAAAAGATGGGATCATTAGAGCCAAAATGGCTAAAAATGTTCAAGTGACATTGAGGAGACTTAATGTAAAACTTTGCAAGTTGACAGGTTCATACACCAACATGCTGTAAGAAGACGGAAGTTTCAGTTGCCCCAAATTAACTTTGAGTCCAGGTGTCAAGAGGTGATTATAACTCTAAAACCTGTGGCTACATTAACAGGACTGTAATGTCCAGAATGAAAGATGCCACACAGATCATCCCTATGCTGTAGTGGTCAAACCCAATGCGAAGTGCCAAGTGGTTCAAACCTCAAGGCTTTAATGGCATCAAAGCAAAACATGTAATAGGAGGGGGATCAGAAGGGCAAAACATCCAAAACCAGAGGCCTGAAGAATGAGGTATGTTTGGGTCGCCTGGGACAGTGAAAAGGGGTGGGAGGAAGGCGATCCCAGTAGTCTCAAATACATACGAAAGAGTGATCCATTTATTTTCAGTGATGGTGTCCCTGCCATTAGGGGTGGAGGATGGTGGGAGAGTGAGAAATGAGGGAGTTACTCCTGCAGAAGGTTGGCCTCACCTGGGGAGCGCTACAATGCTGTGTCTACCAGCCAGAAAGTTAGGCTGGCCCCCCTCCAGAGCCTCTCCCCTTCCCAGTGTCTAGGTTACAGGCCCTGAACAGGGGCCTGTAGGCAACAACGCCCCTGCTTTGTCTGTAGAAAACCTCTAACAGAGGGAATTGGGAACAAGTAGGCCGGCTG